AGAAGCTGACCCTAGGTTGGGGCCGGTGAGAGGGTGGTGCCAGTCAAGACGGGTGCCAGCAGGAGGTCCCCCGATCACCCCACCGATTGGCCCTGATCACTGGCCAGGCCTAGGGACCCTACCCGTGCACTGGGCCTCTAAGTTATATACATGCATGTGTACACAAGGTTTAGTGTGTACACACATACCCTTGTTCACCAAGAGGGCCTAGAACAATGATATAATTTAATAGCAAGGAATATATCTAGTGCCTAGCTTTTAGTTTCAAAAAACCATCGTCCAATAAAAAGGAACTAGGGGCTCCTTGGAGAAATGGCTGATTCTAAGGCTGGGGCAAGGAAAGTAAAAGATGAGCCTGAGGCATCTTTTAGTACCAGGAAGTAAAGGGGGCAGTCAGGACAGAGGTGCCAAACTGAAGAGTTCTCAATGGTCAAAGCTGCAACAACCTGAGCAGAACATAAAGAACATGCTTCGGGAGTATGAAGTATGAAGGTATGGAGTATGAAGTAAATGCAGAGTCCATACAATAAGTGATTGAGCAGATAAATGAACGGGAAAGAGACAAATCTTTTTCAGAATTCCATTTACAGTACTTCCTCATCCAGGAGATGGACTCCCTGCTGATGGCACAGCTACCCCCAGCCCCTACTCCAGGGGTGGGAACGTCTGACCCAGACCATATAGGCCCTCAAAATCATTTGGTTTGGCCCTGCCAATGCATTAGGGGTGAGTTAATGACGTTTGATCTAATAAAGCAGTTTATAAGTATCCAAATGGCCCTCGGCAGAAAAAGGTTGCCCACCCCTGCCTTACACCATGGGCTAGACTTAGTTACTTGCTTATAAACAATAGCGTATGGACAGGGAAAAACAACTACAGTGAAGAAACCGAGGGAACATTACCTTCACCAAGTGATGAAAGCTAAATATCACATGCATCCTGTGATTAGATGCACTTCACTTCTGTGGGATTCCTTCTCAAAACCCATAGCTCCAGACTGACCATGAGAAAAACATTAGACACATCTAGATAGGAGACCATCCTTATAGGATACTCACACATACTTACAGACACCTTAACACTGTCAAAGTCATGAAAAGTAAGGAAAGATTGGAAAACTGTCACACCACAGGAGGTAGGGAGATTGACAAAATGCAATGTAGCACCCTGGACTGGCTCTTGTAACAAAAAGGTTAATAAAAAAAGAAAGAATGGGTGAGCCCTGGCCGGTGTTGCTCAGTGGATAGAGCATCGGCCTGCAGACTGAAGGGTCCAGGGTTCGATTCCAGGTCAGGGCACATACCTGGGTTGTGGACTCAATCCCAGTGTGCGGTGTGCAGGAGGCAGCAGATCAATGCTTCGCTCTCATTGATGTTGCTATCTCTCCCTCTCCCTTCCTCTCTGAAGTGAATAAAAATATATTTAAAGAAGAAAAGGGTGAAATCCAAAGAAAGTATCAAGCTTAGTAAAAAGGGGAAAAAAAGATACTCTGAACTTTGTGGGGAAATTTAATGCTAACATGACTTAATTTGTAAGATTCTTTGTCCTCCAAGAGAATTAACAGATACAGTAATTTTAATTAGACATTTAACATTCACATTTAATAAGCTGAGCCATATTATAATAGTGTGCGAGGTTCCGACCAATATATTTCCACTTTCAAATTCTGACCCCATTTGACTTCTCCTTTCTGAGTACTTTTGCAAGAATAACCACCATTATCTTTCAATTATTCAAAATAGTAAAAAATTTACCTATTTCATGATAAAGTTATTTTTGTATTGCCTTTATTTTTAGATTTTATTATTAAAATTCGTTTGCATTTCACCAACACACACAATCTAAATGACCTGAAAGCCACTTGAAACTTAAAAAAATTTTGCCTCATATCATTCGAAGTCCAAAGAATGAAACCCTTATTCCTTCTCTTTTCACTTATGTAAAATTGTAGAGCTTTGGGAAATGTGTAGACTGTTTACATAACTAGGAGAACAGCTATTGGTAGTGCCTGCCGCCCTACGGCCTTCCATCCCTCATGGTTTGTCTGCCGATGGAGGAGAGGCCAGGGAGAAGAGTAGAAAATACCAATAACAGTGTATTTTAAAAATCTATTCGCATTTCATAATCCAATGTGAGCGCCAGCTCCGCAGATCCGCACTCAGCGCTGACGGGACACCCGCATCCGAGAAGCGCCCTCGCCCCGGGGACAGCGAGCCGCTGGCCGCCAGCGCGCGGCGGGAGCGCCGACGGCAGGGCAGACCCTGCGCGGGCTGACCCCGGGTGCTGCCGCTTCTTCAAACGGGAACACCCATGAGTGCGACGCTGCAGGAACAAGCCTAGCTTACAGCCCGTTTGTATGCTTACTCGGGCAGGGATCTTCGTCCCTGAAACCAATGCCACCTAAAAATCCTCCCAGAACGGCGTGGCTCAGCGGCTGAGCACCGACCAACGAACCAGGAGGTCATTCCCGGTCAGGCACAGGCCAGGGCTGCAGGTCCGACCGCGGTGCGGGGCGTGCAGGAAGCAGCCAGTCAATGAGCCTCTCATCACCGATGTCTCTCTCTCTGGAACCATTAAAAAATATGTATTTAAAAAACCCTCCCAGAAGCTGGCCAGTACAGAAAGCAAACCAACGTTCAATAACTCACGCAGCCTGAAGGACTTCTGCAGACGCCAAGCGGACAGGCTGACGAGGCCCTTTCGTCCTTTCCCACACCGCGGCCCCCCTTCCCCGATGTCCCCACAGAGCCACGCTCCCCATATCCGACCCCAGGGCAGCGGCGGCCCGCGGCCCCTCGGCGCCCACCGCCAGGGCAGGCTCCGCTGCGCTCACCGTTCACCAGCGCGGGGGCCTTCTCCGCGAGGTTCCGGACAAACTGGGCCATGGCGCCGGGAGGGACACTGCAGCCCGAACCTCCGGCTGAATGTCACCCTCGCAAGGACCCGCCGAAGGACCCCGCTCCGCGTCCAAGGTCAGGCCGTCCTCCTCGCGCCGGCCCACGATATTTAGATGTCCCACGGCCCTTCCGGGATCCAGCTGGTGAATGTAGCTTCTTCAGCCACAGAGGAGAGAGGGCACGAAAGGGCGAGAGTCTTCGAGGAGAACCCAGGATTCCCGGGGGAGCAGGCACTTCTTGGGGCAGTCGCTCGGAGCCGGAATGCAGCGCATGCGCCCTGAGGCTCTCTGGACCCGCCCCCACTCTTCCGCCCCGCCGCCCGGAGCCGGAAGACGGCGAAGGGAGAGGAGGCGCATGCGTCCTGCGGCTCTCTGGACCCGTCCTCCACGCTTCCGCCCCGCCGCCTGTAGCCGGAAGACGGCGAGGGGAGGGGAGGAGAGGTGCGTGCGCAGAGCGGCTCCCTGGACCCGCCTCCACTCTCCCGCCCAAGGTGCTAGCGCTTTGGAGAACTTAGGGAATGAGGGCTTGCGCTGACCCTTGCAGGCCAACTCGTACGCTCTACAAAGCCAGAGAGGCTCCTGGCCAAACATGGCAAGTCCGGGGCAGAGCAGGCGTCCCACAGCCTTTCTTTAGCTGGAATTCCGGTTCCCCCTCGTCCTCTTAAAAGGATTGGAATCCTATTCCCCCAACTCCCTAACCAGCCGCGGAAAACTATGCAGATAGGAGGAACAAAACCACGTTTACTGAGGATTCCCGGTGTGCCAGGCATTTTGATATAAAGAAAGCTGTAAATTAGGTAGTGTCCTCGTCTGATAAATGGCCGCGTAGTTATGAATGGCAGAGCCGGGATCTGAAGAGGTTGCAGTGCAGACAGCACTATCGGATTAGGCGTGCTGCTGACCTGGAGAAGGTTGAATGGATGTATAACTGGGCGACTACCTACTAGAGTTGAAACTTTATAGTTGAGCATGACAGGAAGAAAACATGTAGTAGGGAAGTGGCACTTGAAAAAAATGACTAAGGTGCCCCGGGGAGGCCTGAGAAGTAGTAAAACTTTTGGATGGATGGAATAGAGGTGGGAAGAAAAACTAGGAGCCAAGAGCAGGATTTCGGTGGAGTGATCCAGCTGCCTTATACTAAAGAGAAGTCAGGTAAAGATGGGGACGTTAAGTCGGCAATATGGAAACATTAGCTGGAGCAGTTTCAAAAGATTAGAAGTCAGAGTGAATGAATGAAGAAACATGGCTGTAAAGGAAAACAAGTCAGAAAGCCACATAGGGATGTGGAAGTCAAGGGAGAGACAGGAGATAGAGAAGGGCTGACGTCCTGATGAGGCAGGAAAGCAGGCTGGAGGGATCAGCCTTGGGAAGGTGGGCCTTCCCCACAGGGGGATGATGGGAGAGAATGTTTGAAAGTGAAAATTCTTTAAAAAAAAAAATATATATATATTTAAATATATTTTGATTTTTTACAGAGAGGAAGGGAGAAGGATAGAGTTAGAAACATCAATGAGAAACATCGATCAGCTGCCTCTTGCACACCCCCTACTGGGGATGTGCCCACAACCAAGGTACACGCTCTTGACTGGAATCGAACCTGGGCCTACGCTCTATCCACTGAGCCAAACAGGTTAGGGCGAGAGTGAAAATTCTAAGTGTATCTTTCTAGTGAATTAGAAGGCAAGGTCATCTGAGTGTGAAGGGTGAGAATTTGAGAAAAGAGGTTAGAGTTTGGAATAGTTGTTGAAGTTACGGACACAAAAGGGTTTTGGGCAATGTTAGAAACTACAAGTTGATGGTAAAGATGGTGTCATTTTCCTCCAACAATGGTCTGTAGTTTGGATACTGGAACAGGGGAATGGTTGGGTTAACCTAGGCTGAAGTCTTGCACGGAGCAAGGGAACATGACAGTAAATGATTGAAAGACGTGGGATGTAGGCCAGATAAAGAGTGAGCCCAAAGCGAACTGATTAGGAGACTCCTCTTCCAAGATGACTACAGGGTTCAGAGGCTAACTGCTCAGGCAGATTAGGTCAGCCAGGTCACAGTCTGAAACTGCTGCGAGCTTTTAATACTGTCATAAAGGAAGTGATGACGAAGGCTGTAAGTTAGGAATTCATTTATTACATACAAGCTTTGAACAAATACCCCCAGGTGAGTTTGACAAGAAATAACCTTCCTGGAATGTTTCAGAACACAGTTATGTCCATCAAGTTTTATTTCAGTCAACCTTTTTGTTTTTTTTTTGTCTTTAAGTTCGTTTCCTGTTTAGCAGGTAGAGCATGTGCATTATGTACTCATGTCACCAACAGTGCAGCATCAGCCCCTGGCTGGTAAAGGCACCCAGTACACTTACGCTCTGTGCAATGGCTGCTTCACAACCAGCATCAAATAAAGTAATAAAGCTTTTGTAGAGTGTGAGACCTTTAAAGTTTCTTTCAGGTTTTACATATTCATTTAAAAAAACCAGATTGCTTGATGAAACCTATGAAATTTCCTAAGTTCAGTGTTACCCTCTTAGTAAGCACTGTTAGAGCTGATTAGAGTCTCCACTTTCCTATCATACTCCAGCAAAGCCAACACATCAAACTAGGTATGTCAGAGAGTCTGCTCTCATAGATTTTGAGCTGGTTTTTAGTTCCAGATAACAAAATACCTCTTCAAGCTTCCAAGTGCGTATATGCACTGCGTTGTACCAAAATGATAATTTTTAGTCTCATTTTTGGATGTTCTTAAATTACATGGTTTCTTACCAGTAGTGGCTATGCACTTGCCTATGTAATGAGTTTAAGACATTCAGCAGCATTAATGGTGCCATAGCCATTCATAAATTTCAGGAAAAGGGCTTTCATAATAATTAAAAAAAAGCTTGCCAGAAAAGGCTTACAATCTGAAGACAGACGTGGAATACACATACAGATACAAACATACAGGTTGTTGACTAGAAAGCTGCTGGGAACGCTGCCTTTTGAGGTTTTGTGTCCATTTTTCCTCCAAATTTCTCCTATAAAAACCTGGTCTTTTAAAGAAAACATCCTATGTGATTGGGCTGGGAAGATAATGCAAGGTGGTAGAAGCTTATTGTATACACAGTTCATTCTCAGTAAAGGAGGCTAATAAATATGACATGAAGCTTATTTTAAGGAAATAAACAAATTCTGTCAACCCATGCCTTCAAGGCCCAGGAGGCAACACTGAATTCCTATCTGATGTTCTGGCATTTGCACAGCAATAGGCAACATCTTTAATCTAGTGTGGGATGCCCTCTCATTGTTTTTTTCCCCAGTAGATACCATCAAAAACATATCAAGGGCTGGTGACAGAAACTTGGAATATTATGAAATTGACATCTTATTTGAAAGACACCATGGTTAACAATAATGTCCTCTAAATGAAGCAATGACCCGTTTCCAGATCGTACCCTTTTTCTTGTCACTTAGGTTATCTTTGGGCTTAGAGGGACAGTGATACAGACAGTCCATAGGGGAATGTGCCTCACTTAGCATGTAAGCTGCACAGCTGAGTAGGGAACTCAAGCTCAACTTGTAAAAGTGGGGGCCCACCCAACTATTAACTCTACGGGGCTAAGTTGCTATTTAAAATGGTTTGTGGGCAAAGCTGTCCTCAAATTCCTTTGTTAACTGCTGACCTAGGCTGAGTTAGAAGCAGTTCTTGGGATTCAGTTCACAAGCTCAAACATTAACTATATACATTTCACAGTCTCGGAATTTTATCTAGAAAAGTGTGTTAGTGGCCACATACTGTAAATACCTTACCATGGAAGAGACGATTTAAAGTGGAGCTCAGTCTACACTAGGCCAATATAAAAAACACACGGTGTATATAGATACTGAGATATACTGTTGATATTAGTGTCTTAAAATGACATTTTTCCTGCTTACAATACTTGTTATCCAACTTCTCTACTTAGCAACAGATTTCCATAAGCTAAATTGGGCCCAACAGCCTCTTTTATTCTTCCACCGCAGAATTTTCTGGATAGTATCAAAACTGCAAGTTTATCCTGTCAGTCCTCCCCAAAATATTGTAGGGTTTTTCCTGGTAATGACAACCCCATGGGACAGTGTGTGTCCTCTACCATATCTCTGAGTTATGGAGATAATACAAAATTAAGAGCTATCAACAGAATTGCATAAGATTCCTTTCTTTTTTCATCTCATCTATCATCTCACAGTGTACTCAAGCGTAGCTACCTGCTTTGATGTGGAAGGTTACCCTGTAATACTGCAGAGCTGTACAAAAAGAAGAGCTGAAGTCTGGGCCGCGAAGACTAGTCAATACCTTGAGAACACAGGGCTTTTTGACGATATCAGCTGTCACTGAAATATGTGACATCATATACTTAAAAGCAGTGATCACCAAAGATGTCTGAGCAGTTCTTGGAAGAAAAATAGTAAGGTGGCAGGAAGTTTTAGCAGTGGAAATTAATATAATTTAAGGTAGGAAAGGGGAGAAGAAGGAATAGGGAGAGAGAACAAAGGGTAAAAATTAGTGATGATTTCCAGACTTGGTGGGGGTATAATTATAATATCCTGTAAGCTAGGAGAGCCTTGTCAAGTTCTTAGGAATCTTAATTATCATAATCTGAGCAAGAGCAGTTCTCCAATTTAGTAAAAAAAGAAAAAAAAGAAAGAAAGGAACAGAACCAAAGAGAAATCACAAACAACTGTTTATCTTCACTCTGGGGTTCGTTTTGGTTGGTTTAGGTCGCAGTATTTATTCAAGTTGCTCCTTCTGTTGTTTCCTCTCTGCGAGCCACCGTTGGATTTTTTCTTTTAGTTCTGTGTTTGGCCGGATCTGGTCCATGGTGAGGGGGCTACGGTTAAAGGGATCTGTTTGGTCACTGGGACAAAGAGAGAAAGGAAAATGGGGTTATTTTCATCAGTTCTAACATCCTAAGCCAAAACTAGAATACCTGGGATCTTACTTGGAGACTGAAGCTAGATTGCATTTGAATCAAGTGCTGAATTGAGGTTAGAAAGAATGATTCAGGAGGTTTTTTTTCCTTTTCAGATTATTTAGCTACTTTGTCTTTCTGCTTCTAAACAAACTTTATGTCAACATTGTTCAGATATCTGATTCCGTTTCCCTCTTTGGAGACCCTGCACACTCACGTCAGCAGGAAGAGCTTAGTTTTAGTGACGGGCTCTCAAAACAGAAGGAGATGTCAGGGGATAAAGCCTTGTGAGCGGACACCTGACCCAGTCAGCTGACTGCTATCCAAGTAGATGCAGATCATGGCTTCCTGACAGGTAGGAAGGTTTATAACATACTTTAAGGGCTGGTATATCTTCTCCTTTTTATTCTGAGGCCCCAATAAAATAGAAATTTTCACTCACACTTTGAAAAGATGTCCCACCTAGCACAGCTTCATGCATATAGTGAATACTTAATACCAAATACCATGAAATAGGAAATCCTTTTCCCCCAATATTTAAAAATTGTATTTCCTTAAATTTGGGTCAACTTCCATAACTTCATTTTAAACAGGCAAGTCTCTCAGACCCTTTCTAGGCAATGCTGCCCTGAGAGAGGCAGCCGGGAGCCCCCCGGACACCACGACTGACAGCAGCAACAGCAGGAGATGTGAGTTAACCCGTGGGATGAATACAGTTTAAAGCCCGAATAATAAAAAGATACCCCTACCTTTTATATTTTTATAAAATTAAAGCAATTTAAATCCACTCAGACTCCAGGTTAAAATATTTTATAACATGTTAACAAATTATTTCCTTAAGGAAGGAATAGATAAGGTTAGACCAGTATTTCACAACAAGGTTTCTTGTTTTGAATGTTTAAATCCTTAACAATCAAGTGATACACCTCCACCACATTAACAGTAAGTCATCTCTGGCACCTTCGGGGCGCACTACCCCGCGATCAGAAAGCTGGGAGGAAAGGTGCAGCAGCGGCCGTCCGTACCTGAGCAGATGCCTGGCGATGGTGGACCTGTCCACAGTGACTCGGGAGGACGGCAGCACCACAGGGTCAGACATCAAGGTGCTCATGATGGGGTCCAGGAACTCATCGCAGGCGTCCGCGTAGGTCTCCTCTTCCTGCTGCTGCAGGTCTGCGAGAGACTGAGCACAAACAGCCAGCACTGAGCTGAATTCAGAGTGACGGGTTCAAATGCTCAGTAACTGCACCTTAAAGGGTGTCGAACCTGAAAGGGCGTGTTTTAAAGGTAATGACCCTTTACAGTGACAATGACAATTCTTTGCTTTCTAAACAAGCCAAGATAGATATTATGGGATCAAATTTAGCATCCAACCCCAATTCGGAAACTTCCATTGGCTCAGCTGTTAGCAGTTAAGAATGGGTTACAGTGTTAACAGGAAAAGAAGCACATCACATACATCTTTCTGGCAACAGTCTTGTAAATGTCAGAATCTAAAATGGGAGGAGCTGGAGGGTTATTATTTGCATAATCACAGCCACTCATGAAGTTTCCGGGGTTAGGCACAATCAGGTATAAGAATTTAAAAGTGCCTTTAACCTTTGATTCTTTCATGACTCAGGGCCCCATCTGGCTAAACTGGAGGCAAAGATGAAGCCCAACTCAAGAAATAAGTAACTCGATGAAGGGAGGACTGACATCAATAAAGAAAGTTTTCTATCAGACACTGTGCCATGGTTTTTCTGTTTCCATAACTGCTAATGGAGCTCTGTCATACCCCAAAGGGATTATTAGCTAAATACAATGCAGTATTCTAATCTTTAAAATGTATGGCTATTCCCACATGAGCCAACTACCAATCACAAATATACAGAACAGAGAAAACCAATAAAAATAACTAAAACAACTCATTTTGAATTCTATTCTAAGAAGTTCTGCTTTTTAGCATTAACAATATAGATTTTCAAATCTATTAGTAAAACTGCACAAACATTTTCATAAAAACAGCCTACAAAACTCTGTATACTCTTCTAGCAGAAGCTTCTTAAATCAATTTTTCTATTCTCACTCTCACACTAGAGAAAGTAGTAGTAGTAGTAGTAGTAGTAGTAGTATTGCCTGGCCAGTGTGGCTCAGTGGTTGAGCATGTACCAAAGAGTTGCTGGTTCGATTCCTGGTCAGGGCACATGCCTGGGTTGTGGGCTTGATCTCCAGTAGGGGGTGTGTAGGAGGCAGCCATGTTTCTCTCTCATCAATGTTTCTATCTCTCCCTTCTTCCTCTCTCTCTAGAAATTAACAAAAAAGCACATTTAAACCTCCCCCCCCCCAATAAATTGAAAAAAAAAAAAAAAAAGAATAGTAGTATTGCCTTGGTTAGAGCGTCGTCCCCATAGGCTAAGGTTGCAGGTTTGATCCCTGGTCAGGGCACATACAAGAACCAACCTATGAATGCATAGATAAGAGCAACAAGTATCAATGTTTCTCTCTGTACCTTGCTCTCTCTCTCAAATCAGTAATAAAAAAATAGCAGTATTAAGAATTCAGTAGTTCTAGTTACTGACTAATCATGTTTATATTTTCTCAAGGCAATGTTTCTGCCTACCCTCCAAAACAGGGTAAAGAGCAGTACAGCTGAGTCAATAATGTAATTAAAAAAAAAAAGTTTTTCTTGATCTTTAGAGAGAGAGAGGAAGGGGGGGAGAAACTTGTACCTGTTGCCTCCCATACACACCCTGACCAGGGATCGAGCCTGCAACGTGGGTATGTGTCCTGGCAGGGAATTAAACCAGCGGCCTTTCGGTACACGGGACAATGTTCAACAAACTGAGCCACACTGGCCAGGGCAACCATGGGATTTTTATAGAACATGTTAATAAACAAACCCTCCTCCTTCTCACCTTGATTCTCTCTGCTAAGTTGGTGAAAGCCACAATCATATCTCCAGGCTTATTTATTTTCTTCAGAACTCGGATGGTCTGTGCAAGAAGAGTCGGGGAATAGGAACGCCCATCTTTGGGCACAGTGGCACAGAAATTCTCCTCATTCCTGGAAGGTCAGCATGGGAGGGAAATGGAGCATCAGAGGAGGTAATCAGTGGGTTGAGGGACAAGGGTCCCCATCACTTAAATGCCATGAATGCTCTTTTGATAAACATTTCTAATTTTTAGGAAGGTCTATCAAGTATTCTGTGGCTTTAAAGGAATACTGCTTTTCCAAACAACAGTACAACCAGCAAAGTTTATCTTTGTACAAATCAAGGCAGAATGTTGGAAATTCTGAACAATGTCTGTCCCACAGGTAACACAAAAATCTCATTTAAAACTACAGAAGATCCTTTCATCAACCAACTTGAAATGAACCATTTCTTTTCTACTTCCACATTATTCTTATCAAAGCCCCCAATTAAAACATTAGCATCCCCCTCTGGCTTGCCCAATTTAAATCTCAAGTACCCAAGATTTAAGTAGATCGTGCAGATATCTGATACGAGCTGCTGGGGCTTGAAGTCAAATTCACTGAAGTCCTTGACTTTCAAGGCCCCCATCTTGGGGCCAACCAGGTGCTGCAGGAAGTAGTTCAGCATGGAGATGATGCGCTCAGCCAGGAAAGGGTGCACGAAGAGTGATTTGATCTCTGGAAGGAAAGCCAGACTGAAAACTCAATCCATTAGCAATCTTTTACTTATGTCTTAGAGTTTTGCTGGGAGACCTCTGGAGACTACTACTTTTTAAAATTACATAAGTAATTTTAATACATTTTCATTGTAGTAATATTAGAAAATATAGACAAGCAAAAGCAAACAAACAAAATGTAAAAACTATCATCCAGAAATAAAGACTGTTAACACCTTGTTTATACAGTTGACCCTTGAACAATATAGACTTGAACTGCATGGGTCCACTTATATGCAGTTGCTTTTTTCAATAAATACTGTAAATGTATTTTTTTCCTTATGATTTTCTTTTTTTATATTTTTATTGATTTTAGAGAGAGGAAGGGAGAGGGATAGAAACATCAATGATGAGAGAGAATCATTGATCAGCTGCCTCCTGCACACCTTCCACTGGGAATTGAGCCTGCAACCCGGGTATGTGCTCTGATCTAGAATCAAACCGTGACCTCCTCGTTCTTGGGTCCACACTCAACCACTGAGCCACACTGGTTGGGCTTCCTTAGGATTTTCTTAATAACATTTCTTTTCTCTATCTTACTTTATTCTAAGAATATAGTATATAATACATAAGACATACATATGTGTTAATCGACTATATATTATCAGTAAGGCTTGCAGTTAATAGTAGGCCATTAGTAGTTAACTTCTGGGGAGTCAGAAGTTACACATGGGTTTTCCACTGTGCCGGGGTGGGGGGTCAGTGTCACTAACCCCTGCATTGTACAAGGGTGAACTAAATTTTAGTATAACTCTGGGGTTTTTGTTTGCTTATTTTCAGAGAACCTATCATTAAATCTTTCTAAAACTCTTTACCAGAGGGAAGAGATCAACCAAAGGACTTGTATGCATGCATATAAGCATAACCAATGGACGCAGACACCAGGGGGGTGTGGGCATGAACGGAGTGGGGTGGGGCAGCAATGAGGGGATAAGGACACATATATAATACCTTAATCAATAAAGAAAAAAACAAAACAACTCTTTATCAGAAATGTAAAATTCCCAATAGGATAATTTCTAGCAGTTCTGCATTTTGGGAAATGTTCTTTCTGGAAGTTTCCATCTGTCACTCCAATCTGGACTCCTTGCTCTGTAGGTCTGTTGCGTGGTGGTTATACGAGCTCCTTCTACCATCATCCTGGGAACTTCCTTTGTGTCTCTTATAGGATTCCATCTAGCTCCTTCTGGGTTTATTCTCTCATTTTGATAGAGTGTATCTTTTTTTTTATTTTAATGTTTTTTTATTGATTTTTACAGAGAAAGAGAGAGCCTCCTACTAGGGATTGAGCCTGTAACCTGGGCATCTGCCCTGACTGGGAATCAAACCGTGACCTCTTGGTTCCTGGGTCGATGCTCAACCGCTGAGCCACACCAGCTGGGAGAGTATATATTATTGTAGCTTTGATGAAAGTAAATTTGATGCCTTCATGTCTGAAAATGCCCTTATACTTTACCCTCTAATAGAACTGATAGTTTGGCTGGGTATAGGATTCTGGGCTGAAAAAAATATTTCCCATCAGGAATGTGTTCCAGCTTCAGATGTTACTGTTGTGAATTTCAAAGACATTTTGGTACTTAAACAATGTATATGACCTGACTTTCTCTCTGGGACCCTGTAGGATCATTTTTTTACCATGATTTTCTGAAATGTCACAATGATAAATCTTAGTATGGGGTTTAAAAAAATTCTCTGTGCTAGCTACTTGATGGCTCATTTCAATTTAGAGCAAGCATGTCAAACTCAAAGGCTAACACAGGCCAAATAAACAAGGTTTAAGTTTATGTGGGCTGCAAAAAAACAAAAGCTTCTATTTTCATAGAAACGTAGGTTTATTTTGAAGAGTATAGTATATAAAAAAAAGAACAAGAGCAATGATAAAATTAATGTTTTCTTCCTGACACTAGGCATCTCTTCTCTATTATCATTCTTACTTCTGGGGAAATCTTGTTCTCAGTGATTACGTTCAAAACTGCCCCAAGGTGAATGTCAGTAATTCTGGATCTGACAGGAGACTTATTTCCTCTCATAATTGTAATAACTACTCACACCGATAAGTACTTCCAAACATGGAAAAAACTTCATGTGAATTTTCAAAGCTGGCAGGTAAATATTTGTAAAATTTAGGCACGCCAACTTCACTGAATTTTGCCTCTAAATCTGAATCGCACTGAATCTCAATTACCTGCATTTGCATTTGATTAGGTACTGATTCTATATTTATTGAAAAAATTAAAGAAAACTTGTCTTCCAAAAATTTAAAATCTGCAAACCTTGTTTCAAATTCAGTTCTAAGGCTTAAAATTTTTTGATACGATGCAGTTTCACTTAAGCTTGATTTGTTCATGTTGCATGTTGGAAAGTACATTAAATCTTCATTTTTCAACTGCTTTTCCCAAAGAACTAGCTTACATGTGAATGCTTTGACTTGGTCACACATGTTTGTAATAATCTGATCTTTTCCTTGCAGTTTTAAGTCATATAAGTGTTTTGTTATATCAACCATGAAGGATAAATCCTGCAACCATATTGTGTCAAAAAACAGGGTTATGTCTTGATTTTTAGTTATTAAGAACTGACATATTTCTTCTTTCAAGTCCCAGAATTGTTTAAGAACCTTGGAGTAGGATAGCCAACGTACCTCGATATAGTAGCACAAGCTGGAATATTTGCTAATTCACTTAAGAAAGCAGAGAACTGTTGCTGATTAAAGCTTTGAGATCTTATGAAATTGATAATTTTTTTTGATAGATGTCAACACATTTTCCATGTTTATTACCTTCGTGCATAATACTTCTTGATATAATGCAATGCATATGATGAATCTTGGATCTGTCATAAATTTCACTTTTTGTTTTTTGCAGTAATGCTGCGAAACCATTGTTTTTTCCAGTCATTGAAGGAACTCCATCTGTAGCTACAGAAGTTAATTTTGAGAGAGGTAGACTGTATTTTTGCAGAAGTTTAAAAACAAAATTAAATATATTTTGTCCTGTACTAGTGTTACGCATTAGTACTAGTTCCAACAATTCCTCAAAAATTGAAATCCGTGTCGCAAGCACAAAGAAACACAGCTAACTGAGCTACGCCTCCAATGTCCATACTCTCGTCACAGGCAATGGAAAAAGCTTAGAAACTAGATCATTTTGCTTTGATCTGAATACTTAAATTGTCGGCCAAATCAGTAACTCTTTCCGCAACTGTATTTCGAGACAAAGAGATTGTTTGAAAAGACTTCACATTTCCAGGACTAACAATTTCTTCAGCTTTAGACATTCCTTGATGAACCACCTTCAGTAAAAGGTTTCGAGTGTTTAGCTAATCAACTCCGACAAGACGTACCTTGCGTGCACCACTGCTTCACTTTCTTGTGATACTTTAGTAAACATGAACTGCTGTTTTTTCAGTCCCAACTTGAGTTCTTTCAACTTTTCTTGCCTCATTAATTCCTCGTAATTATCATATTTTGATTTATGTTGTTCATAGTGACAATGAATGTTGTATAACTTTGGTACACTAATAGCATTATTACATATCAAGCAGATTATTTTAGTTTTTATTTCACAGCAAAAATACTCCAATTCCCACTTTTCTTGGAAATTTTGATGTTCGTCAGCAATTTTTCATTTATTTTTACTACCACTTGATTTTGATAGACATGCTGAATACAAAGGGCTGAAATAAATGAGTAATCGTTAACATAAAATAGAACATTTTAATAAAAATTAATATTTTTACTTGAACATTAATTACCAGACACTGAATAACTACACAAATTAATAAGCGTAACACAAATAAACCTATTTTTCTTGTTCTCCAAAAGCAAAATATTTCCTGTTGTGCACACCAAACAAGTCAGTACAAGACTAATGATGTAGCAATCGGCTGCTAAAATATTTGCTGCTAGTGTTAGTGGAGAGAAATGGTGCGTCTGCACCTAAGGGAAATGAATGCAACATGATTACAGTAATCAGTTGTTAGCGAATGTTGTAGTTTGTTATTAATAATTGTATAAAATAATTGTAAAAATTAAGTTACAAAATTTTTATTAAAATGTTTCTTACATACCGTTATATTAGCTGGGCCGCCAAAATATTCCTTGTTGGCTGCATGCGGCCTGCGGGCCGTGAGTTTGACATGCTTGATTTAGAGGCTCTTACTCTTGGGGATTTTTTTGGATATTATTTCTTTGATAATCCCCTCCCTAACAGTTTTCTTGTTTGAGACTTTTTAGATAGATCCTTTATTTTCTTACCCTTTTCTTATTTCCATCTCTTTCTGTTCTGCTTCCTTTTTTTAAATTCATTTTAAATTTTTTATTTTTCAATTACAGTTGATATACAATATTATATTAGTTTCAGGTAAACACCCAGTAATTACTAGTAGACATTACATAATGTACTAAGTGGTCATCCTGATAAATCTAGTACCCATTTGACACCATGCAGTTATAAGGATACTACAGGACTGGTGCACGAATTCATGCACAGGTGGGGTCCCTCGGCCTGCCCGGCGATCGGGGCCGATTGGGGCTGTTTCACCTAGTCCTGATTGGGTCAGCCGGCCGGGGGGGAGAGACTATGGGATGTTGGCTGACCACAGGAGGTTGGCTGTGGGAGTGCAATGACTATCAGGGGGCAGCACCTGCATTGAGCCTCTGCCCCCTGGTGGTCAGTGTGCATCACAGCTACTGGCCGGTTATCTGGTTGTCCGGTCGTAATGGTCGCTTAGGCTTTTATATATAGACTAGAGGCCCGGTGCTTGAAAATTCATGCACTGGATGGGGGGGTCCCTCAGCCCGGTCTGCCCCCTCTCACAGTCCAGGAGCCCTCAGGGCGGAAGGCGACCTGGTGATCAGGGGAAGGCGACACCCATCACACCCGTGCTGCTGCCACTGCCGGCAGCGCAAGCCTCGGCCGGCCCTGGTTACCTGCTCCTCAGGTGGCCCTGGGCGGCTGGGGG